GCGGCGGCGGGGTGGGCGTGGCCAAGGTGCGGGGGGGGTCACGTGACCGGAGCGTGTCCCGGGTGCGTCACGTGACCCACACGTGTACAATGGATGTCATATGTCATAAGCGTGTCCCAGGCGTGTCACGTGACGCACGCGTGTCCAATGGATGTCACGTGACCCAAGCGTGTCCCAGGCGTGTCACATGACCCGAGCGCCTCCTGTGACATCACACAATGCAGCTGCCTCCATCCCATGTCCCAAGCGTGTCACATGACCCGAGCGTGTCCAATGGATGTCACATGACTGGAGCGTGTCCCAGGTGCATCACATGACCCGAGCGTGTCCAATGCATGTCACATGACCCAAGCGTGTCCCAGATGTGTCATGTGACCCAAGCGTGTCCGATAGATGTCACATGACCGAAGCGTATCCAGTAGATATCCCATGACCGAAGCGTGTCCCAAGCGTGTCCGATGGATGTCACGTGACCCGAGCGTGTCCCAGGCATGTCATGTGACCTGAGCGTGTCCGATGGATGTCACATGACCGAAACATGTCCCAGATGTGTCACATGAGCGAAGCGTGTCCGATGGATGTCACATGACCCAAGCATGTCCAATGGATGTCACCTGACTGAAGCGTGTCCCAGATGTGTCCCATGACCCGAGTGTGTCCAATGCATGTCACATGACCCAAGCATGTCCCAGACGTGTCATGTGACCCAAGCATGTCCGACGGATGTCACATGACCGAAGCGTATCCAGTAGATATCCCATGACCCAAGCATGTCCCAAGCGTGTCCAATGCATGTCACATGACCCAAGCGTGTCCCAAGCGTGTCCGATGGATGTCACATGACCGAAACGTGTCCCAGATGTGTCACATGACCCAAGTGTGTCCGATGGATGTCACGTGACCCGAGCGTGTCCCAGATGTGTCATGTGACCTGAGCGTGTCCGATGGATGTCACATGACCGAAACATGTCCCAGATGTGTCACATGACCAAAGCGTGTCCAAAGGATGTCACATGA